GTTCAGCGGTTCTAATCTCACCGGCTCAAGGTTGACTCAGCCTTCCATCCTTCCGAGATGGGTGAAATGAGGACCCAGACTGTGGGGGTGATATGTTGACTCTGTAAACCACTTAGAGAGGGCTGAAAGCCCTATGAAGCGGTATATAAGTCTAACTGCTATTGCTATTCAGTTTTGGTCACCACGATGTAAAAAAGATGTGGAGACTCTAGAAAGGGTGCAGAGAAGAGCAACAAAGATGATTAGGAGACTGGAGGCTAAAACATATGAACTGGATACGTTTAGCCTGGGGGTCCAACCCACTGCTTAGACAGGAAACCCTACACCACTTCAGACAAATGGTTATCCAATATCTTCTTTAAAACTTCCAGTGTTGGAGCATATGCAACTTCTGGTGGCAAGCTGTTCCACTGATTAATTGTTCTGTTAGGAGATTTCTCCTTAATTCTAGGTTGCTTCTCTCCTTGATTAGCTTCCACCCTTTCCTTCTTGTTTTACTCTCAGGTGCTTTGGAGAATAGGTTGTCTCCCTCTTCTTTTGGCAGCCCCTGAGATATTGGAACACTGCTATCATGTCTCTCCTAGTCCTTCTTTTCATTAAACTAGACATACCCAGTTTCTTCATCTCCTCTCATACTAGCTAGGAATTTTTTTTTTGTTCAAATAGTTGAGCATCCACCCACAAGATTATTTGTGATGTAACAGCAACTCGGGGAAACAGAAAATTTCCCCAAAGAAGAAGTTGTGTGTCCCGCCTGCAAGTTATGGAACACACTTCCCTGGCCTCTCATCACTCAGCCTTTTAAAAATCGATAAGAATGCATCTCTTCCACCAGGGTTTTAACCATCACTTTATTTTGCTAATTCCCAGTAAATTTTAGTCTACTTTGTCTGTTTGCATATTCCATTTTTGTTTTCTACAGTTTGTTAGCTGCCTTGGCAGAGTAGAAACAGAGGCTATAAACCACCCACCCACCAAGTAAATGAGTAAAGTCCCTTGAATGGAATCCTGAAAGGCAGCTGATACGGTTAATCATTTCTTTGCAAGGAATTCTGAGCATAAAGCTTTCATTCATACATATTGTCCTTGTTAGGCGGTCAGGATAGGTTTGATCGCACTCTTAGTCTGGGTTATGAGAGGTTCAATATTTTCTGTGCCTTTCAAGAGGATTGAATCAGAGTAGGCAAGTGGCAAAGTTAAAACAATCATCAGCCCCAAACTGAAGAAAATAGGATAAGATATTGAATTTGGGGGCAAGGTTGCTTGTGACATATCTCCATTACTCATGGACAGAATAGAATAGAATAACAGAATTGGAAGGGACCTTGGAGGTCTTCTAGTCCAAACCCCTGCCTAACCCTATACCATTTCAGACAAATGGTTATTCAACATCTTCTTTAAAAGATCCAGTGTTGGAGCATTCACAACTTCTGGAGGCAAGTTAGTCCACTGATTAATTGTTCTGTCAGGAGATTTCTCATTAGTTCTAAGTTGCTTCTCTCCTTGATTAGTTTCCACCCTTTGCTTCTTGTCCTGCCCTCAGGTGTTTTGGAGAATAGTTTGACTCCCTGTTCTTTGTGACAGACCCTGAGATATCAGAACACTGCTATCATATCTCCCCTAGTCTTCCTTTTCATTAAACTAGACACACCCAGTTCCTGCAACCATTCTTCATATGTTTTAGCCTCCAGTCCCCTAATCATCTTGGTTGCTCTTCTCTGCACTCTTTCTAAAGTCTCCACATCTTTTTTTTTTAAACACCATTTTATTTAGATCTTCAAAATAGGCTTTCCCCAACCTAATTGGGATTGTCTGGAACAAGTATAAGATNCCCAGACTGTGGGGGTGATATGCTGACTCTGTAAACTGCTTAGAGAGGGCTGAAAGCCCTATGAAGCGGTATATAAGTTTAACTGCTATTGCTATCCATACTGAGATTCAATATCCATGCAATCAAAATAAGATCACAGGGACCTTGGAGGTCTTCTAGTCCAGCCCCCCCCCTGCCCAAGGCACCTCCACTCTCATCAGATTTCAACCTTAGCTCTCAGATTCATACTGATGTACAATATCAGTGCAATCAGAAAAAGAAGTAGGATCACAAGGTTGGAAGGGACCTTGGAGGTCTTCTAGTCCAACCCGCTTGCCCATTGCAGGAATCCTTATACCATCCCGGAACAAATGGTTGTCCAATCTCTTCTTTAAAACCTCCTCCTTTGCCTCCTGAAGCACCTACTGCTTCAGGAGGCAAAACAGTTCCACTAATTAACGGTTCTCACTGTATGGAAGCCCTTCCTTAATCCCAGGTTGGGCATCCCTTCCGACGAACTTCCACCCTGCCTGCAGGTGCTTTCGAGAACAATTCAGGGCTGTCACAACTCTTCAAGTATTGATATACTGATATATTAAATGTTTACATCCCCTGACTGGTTGAAGTGGTGGTGGTGGGCATCCCACATCCATACGGAAAATAAATTCTTTATCCCTTTTATTGGCAGGACTTCTGACCATTTCCCCCCCGCCCCCCTTCTAGGAAGTTCACTGTAATACAGGCTACCCTCCTCTTCAATTTGTCTTCCCACATAGGTTGGGGTCACACAACTATTTTGGAGATGTTGGGGATTATAATGGTACTAATCTTTTATATTATAATGGTACTTATAATGCTACTAATCTGAAGGATGGCTTAGTAGCTAAGATGCTGAGCTTGTCAATTAGAAAGGTCGCATTTCGGTGGTTCGAATCCCCAGCGCCGTGTAACAGAGTGAGCTCCCTTACTTGTCCCAGCTTCCGCCAACTTAGCAGTTTGAAAGCATGCAAAAAATGCAAGTAGAAAAATAGGAACCAGCTTTGGTGGGAAGGTAGCAGCATTCCGTGCGCCTTTGGCATTGAGTCATGCCGGACACATGACCACGGAGACGTCTTCGGATAGCGCTGGCTCTTTGGCTTTGAAATGGAGATGAGCACTACCCCCTAGAGTCGGGAACGACGAGCGCAGATGTGTGAGGGGAATCTTTACCTTTACCTTAATCTTGGCAAGATCCAGCATACCTTATTTTAATACCTTTATTTCTAAAAGTGATACGCCATCCAACTTGCACCCAAGGGGGCTGCAGGCGATTACAATCAATTAAAAACAAAATAAAATATTTAAAATGATGCCGATGTTATTGTAAACATTAATAATGCATATTAATATTAATAAACATGGTCTTTGAGAAGGAATTCTGAACAGATGATCTGAAGTAAAATGTGAGAGAAATAGAACTTCTGCATATTTTCTTTTTTTCTTTTTCTTTTTTAATGCTTTGAAATCTGTGTGGCTTCTTCATCTGGATTAGTCACTGCAGTTTTGTTGGCAAAGAAATATGTGCCTAACCTCATTGTCAACGGATGAAGAAGTAAAGGGCCAAAGGTTGTTTCTAACATTATTTTATTTGTTGGTCAGATTTGATGAAAAAGAGAATGTATCAAACTGCATCCAGTTGAAAACGTCGGTGATTAAAGGCATTAAGAACCAACTGATAGATCAATTCCCGGGTATTGAGCCATGGCTAAACCAAATTATGCCAAAGAAAGATCCTGTTAAAATAGTACGATGGTAAGTTCATTCGTTCCTTTTGCTCTTTTACTGTCATTGCACCTCATACAACAAAATTAAATGCCATCTTCAGTGTACATTGTTAACTATAAAAATAAAAACACAAGCACGCATCTCCTTCACATTCTATATAATTGAAATTGAAAACCTGATATTGCAATAACATTGCACTCTACTGTAGAATGCAATATAGTTTACTGCCCTAGGATAAAAGCTGTTTTTTCAGCCTATTTATCCTTGTTTTTATTTTCATTTCATTTTCATTTTCCCTTTATTTATATGCCGCCCTTTTCCCTGGGGGGACTCAGGGCGGCTCACAGTTCAAAAAAAGCGGGGGGGAGGACAAACAATTTTCCAACATGAAGACAATACNTTCCTTCTTGTTAGGTGGCCAAAATATTTGAATTTCCTCTTCAGGATCTGGCTTTCTAAAGAGCAGTCAGGGTTGATCTCCTCTAGGACTGACCGGTTGGATCGCCTTGCAGTCCAAGGGACTCGCAGGTGTCTTCTCCAGCACCAGCACCTAACCCTAACCCTTATGGTCCAACCTTCACAGCCATCCATTGCAACTGGGAAAACCATAGCATGTATCACTCATACAAAGTATGAGCATTCTTTATGAAGCAGTGCAGCTACTAACTAAAGTGGGAATAAACTAGCTGTGTTTTTTAATCTAATCTAATCCCTTCTCCATTTTCTCTGCCTTTCCTCCATCAAAAGACCATGCAACAAAGCGATAGCAAATAATGTTTCACAGCTGTCCCACCCACCCATTCAAGGTTTTGCACCAACATATAAGTAAAACATTTAAGAATTGAAAATATATCCCATTAAGAACTTTTGGAGCGCCCTTCAGATGGTGAAAATCTACCCTGCATGCATAGTGTTCATTTTTTTCCTTGTTGAACCATCCCACTACTTGCTTTCTTAAGAATATTTTTTTAATTTGTTATTTTATGTTTTCTTAATCTATTATGTGAAGGGCTTTTAAATCATTCCTGAAAAAAATATTCTTGTCCTAGATCCCACAGTTGAGAACCCATATACCCGTGATGGCAAACCTATGGAATGTGTGCCATCACACCAGCTCAGCTCCAACGTGCATGCGTATGCGCCTCCCGCCAGCCAGCTGGTCTTCCAGTCTCTGCCACGCATGTGGGGGGGGCAAGGTGCACGTGGGTTACACATACGTGTGTGGGGCAAATGTGCGGAGAGCACTTGCATTCTATTTTGGGGGCTCATGCAGCACTCCCGCTCCCAGTCTTGGCTTCCAGGTTGGTGCAGGAAGCCTTCCAGGCCCAAAAAAGGGATCCGGGAGCACCATGCGAACCCCCCACGCCCCATTTGGGTCTAGAAAGCCTCCTGCACCAACCTGGAAGCAAATAATGGGTGAGGGGGAGTTATGGTTAGGGGTTGCACATGCATGTATGGGGGGGTTGCATGCACATGCGCAGGGGGTGAGGCACACACGGGGAGGTAGTGTGTGCATGCACGGGGGCAGAGTGTGCATAGTGTCACACACACATTGCATTATGGGTGAAGGCACGGGTGCGCGCTGTTGCACATTTGGACTTGAACATTATGTCCTGGTACTCATTGTTTGTTTAGTACTAGACACACAAGCTAGAACTTGTTGGTGTCGGTTGCCTTGTGATTCACTGCATTATTTCTTAAGGGAAAAAATTGTTTGGTATTCATTGTTTATAGTAATCAGCATGCTTCCCACAACCAATTAACAATGGGTATTAAGGTACTACTTATCCAAATTTTATTTGGCAGCTTCTATACTCATTTCTGTATTTCCTGAAGCTGCACTTTAAAAATAAATAAATATACTTCAAGTGGGTGGCCCCAACCTCAGGCAGTTCTGGGCCATGCAGTCAAAGCACATTTATTTATCGTTTTCAGACATAAAATAGATTTTATTTATTAAATTACTATATCGTCTGTCCCCTACAAGGTGACTCTGAATTAACTGGGCAATGGACTGGCAAACAGCCACACTGAAAGGCTAAGATATAAGACACATAAGGGCAGATAAATCCTACTTCCCTGAGGTGATTTCCGATTTAGCCTCCTTCATATATAAGCACTCGGAAAGTTCATAATTTTTTCTCCTCTTTTATGCTGGTATAAATCTTAGCACATTGTATTGTTTCCATACACTGATATTTGAATAACATGTGTAAAATTATTAAATAGATTAGAATGTTGAGGGCAAAAAGACATATATTCTCTCAATGTTCATTACAATTTAGGATAGAAATATTACTAACCTATTTTTTTAAACTTAATCGGTAGTTGGGTGCAACATTGAAAAAGGACTGCTACAACTCACATCAAAATAGAGGTTTTACATTTAAACTGATTACTTATTAAAGTTTCGTTTGTCCTGTGACTTTGTGTGTACTCGTGTATGTGTACAAGGTTAATAATTTCAATTGGTCTTAGTTTTTATTTCTTCTTTTCTATTTTCTTTAAAGAATAATTTCATTTCTTTTTCCATCATTTGTCTTTTGTAACATTTTGGCTCATTGTCCATCTCCATTTCTTCTTTTGTCCCCTCTATATAACTTTTATGGGGTTGTGATCTTCCCATGTGTTTGTTGTTATGTCTACTTCTTGGATGTCTACTCTCATTCCAGATGTCATCCACACCATGTCTATTCTTGACCACAATTGATGTGTATTTGAATAGAATGTATATTGCTCTTGCTATTTTAATTCTCTCCATACATCCTGTAGGTCTAATTCCTGTGCCATCTCAAAGAATGTGTTTGGTAGTGTTCTTCATTTTTTAAAATTTCTTTTACTGCTTCTATAATCTTTTTTAACATCCATAATTGCGTTGTAAGTCTCCTAATAAGCATATATTTTCATAGTCCATGTCTATTATTTTTCCATGTAATCTTTTGTAAAATTCTTTCTGCTTATTATTTGTAGCATATATTGCGGTCAAAAGTATTTGTTTCTGGTTTATTGATATCTCCACCATTAATATTCTTCTTCATCCACATATATTTGTTTCAGTTTTAACGATTATCTGATGAAGAGTTTTTATTTCTTATAGAATACCTCTTAAGTTTTCCAGTCCACTAATCCTCAGTTAAAAGTTCCAATCACTGTTTCTGCTTTTTTTGCAACCAGAATTTAACACAGCCAATGTTGTTGTTTTTTTAAAGAATTTGGAGAGTACATCTTACAATAAGGAATTTAAAGGTTTTTCCACTTCAAAATGCAAGAAATCACATGAAGCACTTTCTTAAAGAATGGTCAGAGATGGCTTTGGAGAGCCCAGAAAATAGGTTAAGTTGAGGAAAACATACTTGTTTTCAAGTAGGAGAAAATGAGAAGTTGTGGATACAAGGATAATGATACTTGACTTCTTCATAAGCCTGTTTTTTTCTCTTCCCAAGTACTGGGTTTCGGCTTCGTTGGTTGTTGTTGTTTGCTGCCATCTCATGGTCAGAGGGCTTCTGATATTGCAAGTGGAGTCTGGCCTCAATGTGGGAGGTGGGAGCTCAGTGGCTAAGACGCTGAGCTTGTCAATCAGAAAGGTTGGCAGTTCGGCAGTTCAAATCCCTAGCGCCGTGTAACGGAGTGAGCTCCCNTATAACCAATTTTGTTGTATTTAAGTACAATGACAATAAATATTAAACTTATATCCTGCTATCCTGTACATGTTTGACAAACAAAATAAATAAAATAAAAATAAAAAGTCACCCAAGTTCAAGAATCAATTTTCCTAGAGTAATTCAATTTGAATTACTCGACTGCCATGTATATGACTCTGTAAGCAGAAATTCTGACAGCAAACTAAAAAACAAGACAAAAACTGGCAACCAATGTGCAAAGCCAGATTGCAAAAACCCAGGCAATCATTAAGTGGCAACAAAGACATTTAAAAAAAAATACTCTCACATATCTGCCATTTAGTCATCTGGATTCTTGCAACTCATGTATGGTAGCCCTAAAAAAGGAAGGTAAGGAACGGTTGTGTCTGAAGAAATATAGGTAAAGGTTCCCCTCGCACATATGTGCTAGTCCTTCCCAACTGTAGGGGACAGTGCTTATCTCCGTTTCAAAGCCAAAGAGCCAGTGCTGTCCGAGGAAGTCTCCGTGGTCATGTGGCTGGCAGGACTAAATGCTGCAGGTGCAAAGAATGCTATTACCTTCCCACCAAAGGTGGCTCCTATTTTTATACTTGCATTTTTTACGTCCTTTCAAACAGCTAGGTTGGCAGAAACTGGGACAAGTAACAGGAGCTCACTCTGTTAGGCGGCACTGGGGATTCAAACCACCTAACTGCCAACCTTTCTGATCGACAAGCTCAGCGTCTTAGCCACTGAGCTACTGTGTCCCTTTCTGATGAAATATAATTTATTTCAAAGCATTCTCCATGCATATAGGTTTCTTCCCTATGGGATCACAAATTAATCTGCAAAATA